TTAGGGAGCCGAGTTTATACGCGAGAAAACGTGAGCTCTGGGAGCTAGATACGAATTAGCGTGTGGCTCAGGGAGCCGAGTTTATACGAGAGAAAACACATGAGCTCTGGGAGCTAGATACGAATTAGCGTGTGGCTCAGGGAGCCGAGTTTATACACGAGAAAACGTGAGCTCTGGGAGCTACATACGAATTAGCAGCGTGGCTCAGGGAGCCGAGTTTATACGCGAGAAAAGACGTAAACTCTGAGAGTTAGATACGAATTAGTAACGTGGCTCGGGAAGCCGAGTAAAGAAGGTAATGAATATGAACCCGGGCACATACGTGGTCTAATTCTCCAAAGTTTTAAAATTTCATTTACGTTCTCGATAGGCGATACTCCCATTTCTATAGTTGATTTTAAGCGCTTTAGGGTTCCTTTTGATTGCAACTTTATTGTGCCGTTTCTATCTCGTATTCACTTTCTATGTCTGACCAATATAGTATGGTATATACTAATTTCGGTAGTCTACACGGTGTATAAGATGCAAATGCCTTTCCACATTTTGGCGCATATTTTCACRATACACTTAATTGCGGGCCTGTTATATCACACCTTTCTTTGTCCGATTCCTTTTAAATTTCGTCTTTGTTTTCGAGGGTCTCTTATTAATAGAATTGATCGCAACACGTTGGTCTTTGTTTAGGACTGCCGCCGAGGTAGCGGAAAACCATATAGATTCCAGCGTTTGTACTAATTACACTCAACGGTGGAGTGATTAATCACTGAAATTGAAATAAATTTGTTTGTTGAATGGTTGGATCTCTAGTGTCCCGCGCTTTATTCTCGCTCCTGGTTGACTCTAGGGGGGCCTTCTCAGTGCCTCAATTCTGGTCTTACGATCGGAGCCTGGGGTCAACGAGGGGCTGGGGGGTCCTCATACCCAGTTTTTAAACACGCTTCGTTTTCTCTTTTTTCAGAGCGTATTTGAGTCTCTCCTCTCCCGCCTTCTTCAGACCACAGAAACCTTTGAAAGAAAATGCTGTAATGTGTTTGGGGAACCCCAGCCTTTCGTTCGCCCCTTGGTCCCCCCGGAGTTGATCGTAGCCAGCCCCGCCTTAGCCGATCTGAAAACGTTGCGTTTTCGAGAACCAGATAATTTCCAAGCTGGCAGTTTACACGCACACGCTTCACTTTGTCTGTTCATGTTTAGAGTGTACGAGTGTTGAGTGATGGATTAGTAAGTATTCTCACTGAACACTGTGCTTCGTCACATTACCTCGCAAGACATCGGAAGGGCAAGTTAGCCCACCCCCCTCCCCTGGTGACGGTGGCGTACCTCTTTCCCCTTGCTGTTTACCTCATCACGTCGCGGATCTTGCCCCATAACTTAATTACTGCGACGTGACAATGGTATTCAGTGAGTATATAGTACTATTTTCACATGTGAAAATATCAGTTTTTCGAAAAGGAGAAATACAGTGGAATCCCGTTAATAAGGACAAGGTTGGGACTGACAAAACTGTCCTTATTAACAGGGTGTCCCTATTAACCGAGGTGTCAGAAAAACAGCTAAAAACACATTTTTAAACCATTTATTTTTACTGTGCTGTAAACCTTGAAATACAATGTTCAATATAACAGCCTAAACTGAAACAAAACTGCATATCACGGTACAAGCACTACATCATTTCTGTATCATACTGTACTGTGCTGTATAATTTCGTTTAAAGAAATCTGTGAAAAGGTCAAGGCATTGAAACCGAGACTAATCATGTGAGGCGGCCAGATATGATTATGATTATTGAAACAGTGAGTGATAAAATTGTTAACTCATAGTTGAGTTCTGGGAAATAACAGTGCAGTGGTATTGCGGTGGTATTTCATTATGCTGTAATAGCAAACTGGTCCGTTGATACGCAAAAACTGAAAATACAATCCGTATTAAGCTCATTATATCAATAAACAAATACAGTAAAGACGTCTTCAAATTTCAAGTGTCCTTAATGCGGGGTTGATTATGTATGGGAACTGTCATTCAGGTCCTAGAAATGTGTCCTTTGTACTTATTAACGTGTTCTTATAAAGCGGTTAATTTAACAGAAAATGTATGGAGCTTTCGTTGGGACTTTGAAACCTGTCCTTAATAACGAGGTGTCCTTATTAAGCGGGTGTCCTTAGAGCGGGGTTCCACTGTATAGGTATTTTATGGATAATTATATGATAAAATGGAATATTTTATATCCCAGTTGCAATGCATCATGGAATAACCATGGACCCTTTCGTGATCTTACATATATTGAGCAGGTAAACTACAGTCCAAATGAAGTTAATGTTTATTTAAGTTTATGTAAGGGTATCTTCTGACCTGAGATATTCTCCAATATCTGCCTGGTGAAAACATACAATATCTGTAGGATTGGCTTTTCTACAATCCTGTGTTGACCTGGCTGTAGCACCAAAACCCTAGTAAGAAAAGACAAATTAATATTCACCATTATCCATACATTGGTTCACTGCTGGTCAAACAAAAAGCATTCAGTCAAACTTGCACCTTGATGCCTCACTTGAGCGCTTTGTGCTTTTTTACCAGTGAACCAATGGATTGAAAATGGTGAATTGCCAATGCAATAATAAAAAATCCTTGATATATGGCTGGCAAAAAACATTATACAATGATTAGCAGCAATGTGATAGCAGCAATGTGATAGCAGCAATGTGATAGCAGCAATGTGATAGCAACATTGCAACAGGGTAACTTACCAGAGGGGCATCACTCATAGAAAAAACTACAACTCCCTGGTATTGTGGAGTGTTCTCTGTTATCCGGCCCAAGCCAGACTTGGTAATGTGGTTGCCATATAAATATGTTTGCTCTGCTCCAGGTTTTACCCAAATTTTGTACTAGATGGAAACAAAATAAATATTTAATCAGGAGTATCAATAGAATAGTGAGATGAGTGAATGCCGAGTTTATTTGAGACTAGTATGCTGACAAAACATGGACATCTTTTATGTACCCTCAATCTAGACCCCCTTTTAGAGTCCTGATTGTGGGGGCCCTGTGATATTTAAAATGCTGCCAAAGAAGCTTCATTTTTCAAGTTATTCAGTTTGTTGAAGAGATAGCTCTAATAGGCCTTGACTGTGCATGCAGATATAAATAGATAAAAACTGCCAACAATATACACAATTGCATGCACAGCTACATTACTTGTCAAAACTGCAGTCCATTCACTAGGCATAAAATGTTTAAACACGATAGTTCATTATTGTATTTATTATATTCATTTGGGGTTTTCTGAGTTATGACTAAATGTTAATCTCCAGACAGAAACACTAGCAAGTTAATTTGTTGTGTATAATTAATATAAGACCCTCATAAAAAAAGAGTAAAAGAATTAACAGCAGGGTCTCCCTAGCTTCCCTACTATGATGTGATTTTTGCAATTTCAAAATTAAATTCAAACATGCAAACCTTTGCATATGGAGCCATCAAATCCAAAGCAGTTACGTGCAGTTTGAATTTTTGGGTTTGGGTGAATTTTCCAACACAGGTCCCAATGCAGATAAGATTATCTCTGGCTATGTTTGTAGCTTTTCTCATGATGAGTTCACTAAGGAAGGAAAACATTAAATTTATTATAAAATTTGCAAACTCTCCATAACAATTTGTTAAAAAAAAGAATATATAAATAAAAATAAACACACAAACAAAACGAAACTTCAAAATTAATTTTTTACCAACAAAATTCTTTAGGGACCATTCATCTTATTAAGGACTTTTAGATTTGCAAAATCTACGACGGCGATGTCAACCGGAAGTGTAAATAATTTCTCTTTGGGGTTCTGTTCATTGGAGATTTCATTCGAAACATTGTCAGCGAAGTCAACTCATCCACAGGGAAGACAGATTTTAAAGACTCGAAACCCCAAAGTGAAGTAATTTACACTTCCGGTTGACTACGCCGTAGCATATTTTGCAAATCTTAAAGTCCCTATTAACTCTTTGACTACTGGGGCCTGGGGCCCAATAGAATCAAATTAAAATAACTTGGTAAAAATATGTTGACCCTCCCCCCCCCCCCCCTCCCCTTGCTATCCAAAATAAAAATCACTAGATCCCCCAAAAACAAAAATACATATATTCAAGCGATCCCTCTTCCATATTCTCTACTTTCACATCCCCATAATACTTTGCATCTTTGGGGGGGGGGGTAACCAGAGGGTAAAAACCCATTTATTTTGCTGAAGGCTGATCGGACAATGTTGACAATACYYTGWTTGGYATCCAAAAATAAAATRAAGAAGTAAAAAACAGAAAAAGRTAGAAGCTTGAAGAYGTTTAAGGTAAATTTTAAACATWTTTTCGTAAGTCAATACATTTTCTGHAAGACCAAAACTCTTVATGATCTGTACACGCAAAAATTACTTGGAATAAACTGATGATCATTATTGTAACGATAAAAGCAGGTATAGTTCAATTAAGAAACCTTTCAATTTGGGACAGTTTTTTGATTGGTTACCCCCCAAAGACGCAAGGCATTATGGGGATGTGAAAGTAGTTTTTCACTAACCCCCTCCCCCCAAACATAAATAATGATTGGACACTTATATTTGCTATCGAATGTGGCTGACATCTCTCAAGTACTTAAACAAATGTACCCTATGGTGAACTCATGGATACTAGTTTAACTTTTCAGAGACTGGGTTCCCTGTGCCCTTCTTATGCTTATTATTGCTCTTATGATAGGCGACTTGCACTAAGAGGTCACATGATCAAATTGGCCATTGTGGCTGGCATTCTACAGGATTTTAGCTATGCGAGAATGTAAGAAAGGTGGCGGATTCGGATAGTTTTTTTTGTGATAAAAGGTAAGTTAGCGCACTAAATAATGATAAAAATCACCTTTTCTTGCAAGAAATATATTCTTAGTAGATATCTAAAGTAGATTTTTGCTATTAACTTGTCAAAGAGAAAAAATATGGTATTTTTTGAGCTATGATGTGAAGACCTACAAAGCGTTTAGTCTTGTTTTGCAGACTTCATGACCTCAAAACAACGAGTTCTTGTCGAAAAATATCAAGTATTTTTCAACTTCATTCTTGAAAAATGCATTTTTCTTGCAAGAAATACACTTACCCTTCTAATAGATACCTTAAGTAGATTTTTGCTGCATTCGCCAGGAAGAGGAAAAATATAGTATGTTTTGAGCTCATGCAGTTGGCTAAATAAGACCAAGGCATAGGTCTTCACATCATATAAAAATACCATATTTTTTCTCTTCTTGGCCCATTAATAGCAAAAATCTACTTTTACTAAGAATATATTTCTTGCAAGAAAAGGGGATTTTTATTTAGTTATTTAGTTCGTTATTTAGTTTGCAAGATTACCTTTTAACACCAAAAAACTATCCGAACCCGCCATCTTTTTTTACATTCTTGCATAGCTAAAATCCTGTAGAATACCAGCCACAATGGCCAATATGATCATGTGACCTCTTAGTGCAAGTTGCCTATTATTCATACAATTTATTCAAAATCAAACAGATATAATTGTCTGATTTTATAATGTTGTGTTCATGTGTCATACTTCATAGATTTTCATTCATTTATTCGCTTGTTCTGGGTATACATGCAAATTCAAATCATATTTTGGAAAATCCAGTTTCAAGAAGATTTGTTTATCTTTACTTTGATCAAGGGAGCACGTTAAAATTTTGATTGTGTTGGTTTATCTTCAATTTTATCGCACGTATTCTAAGATATAGCAGGCGTTCCTTGTAGTTCTTGTTTACATGTGCATGCTACACTTCATGGCAGGCGTTCCTTGCTTTAGTCGGGCTAGCGAATTTACGCCAAAAACCGACGAATATATTGCGAGGAGCGGAGCAACGTTTAAAAAAGGAGGGGAGTGAAACTGTAAACCACGTGACCCTTTTCAGCCAATCAAACAATCCAAAATGAAAATATTTTTTTCTCTATGCTGGTAGCAATATCTATAGAAACGGATTACGAGACAAATTCAAAAAATGACGTGTAACGTCAAACAGATGAAAACAAACAAAATGGCGTCCTTGAGCGAAGAGCAAAACAAAGTTTTTAATATCGTAGAAAAAGGTTTTAGTGTGTTTATTAGTGGAATAGCTGGAAGCAGAAAATCATTTCTAATTAGATATATTTTAAAGGAGTTGAGAAAGGGAGCAAGCAGTGTTTTTTTCACCGTATCAACAGGTTTTGCGGCTCAAAATATATGAGGATCGACAATACATTCATTTGCCGGCGTCGGAACAGGAAAAAATCGGCTCAAAAACTGGTGAACATAATCAAGAATAATCCTACTGTTGAAAAGTTTGTATGATCACATGGCTTTAGCCCTTTTTCGTTACACTTGGTCTTGTAAACTAAATATGCCTCCATAGTTTTGATAGCTTCCCCATTAGATACAGAAAATAAACTAGTGATTRTTCTGTAGAAAAATTCAAATTTCAAATTAACGATTTCAAAAACATTCAAACGAGTGACTCGACAGTTCATCTTGAACATAAACTCATACGCTCATGTTATGTAAATTCATAAATTCAGCTCACTCTAAGTTTCGACAAGGGAGCACGTTAAAATATTGATCATGTAATCCAGCCATCAATGTGCATAGCAACCGCCTGTGTGCATAGCAATCTGCTACGAGCATAGGACGATAAAATTTCCACTGTTTCACTCCCCTCCTATCACACTCGTCATTCCCTTCCTTACACGATCGTAAGCCATTCGGATCGGCCGAAACCAAAACACTAAGAGGAACGCCTGTCACAAGATAGATTGCGCGTGCTAGATAGATCAGCCAAGAACAATGACTTGTCAATGACTTGACAAACAAAATTTTAATGTGCTCCCTTGCTTTGATAATGCTGTTTCACATGAACTTCCATCCTATACCAACATTTCATCTTAAAATCAGATCAATCGAACTATGTTAAGTTCAGCTATAATTGACCAATTGTAAAAAAAGAGTGTGACCTAAATAAAACTACTATAAAGCCACCTTTAATATGTTTAATATAAAATATACAGTCAATGTCATTAACATTAATTATTGTCCACCGAAAAAAGACATTTAGACATTTACTCATTTAGACTAAAAGAAATACCACATGTTTCCTCAACCGTTCTGGCATTATAAAACAAACCCTGAAATACTATTCTCCATCTTAAATCCTCAATAAAAGGTTGGGGCATTCTGGATTTTGAATTCACGAGTTGAATTTTACATTTAAGTTTTAAAGTTACCCCACGCTGGGGTTCCCTTTCCCGAATTCTATGTCACTGCATATTATCTTAAATGTTTTCTAGACAAAGAAATAATAATAATAATAATGGAACTTATATAGCGCACATATCAAAATTCATGGCGCTTCACAATAAGAAATAAAATAAAACCAGACGTATGTTACAATATTAATAAAATAATATTAATAAATAATCTCTGTTTTCATCTCAGAAGAACTTAAAAATCAAAGTTGAAAAAATGTTTGTAAATGCTACATAGGACAGACAAGCAGCACCATTGATTGATTGATAAAAGAGCATTATTGACAAACTATGAACAGGCAATTCAGAATTTTTAAACAGACAACTTACCTCACATAATAGACTCTATTATCATGCAGTCTAAAGCAGTAGTTACCATCAGGTCTGTCGATTAACAGCTTCACATTCTCACCAATACTATAGATTAAAAATAGTCAAAAACCCCTTTAAATTTAATTAACATTTCTGAGAAATATATCTCAAAATATCATTTTTAAATCATGGTTACGACCATGGATACACAAAGCATAGAAACAAGTTATGCAAGGGGTCTGAATATGCAAATGTATCATTCACTCAATAAGGTGTTAGCAGATTGATAATTACATTAAATTTTTATTTTCTCCATTTTCTGCCTAGTTATTTTTTGTACTGTGTTTTTCATACATGTTTCAAATTATATATTTTTCCATTTTTAAGTTAGATTTAAGTTAGATAACTGAGGGGTTAATTGTGTAACCCTCATAAAATATAGACTTATAGTCAAAACAGCTTAAGCTTACCCTACTAGGTTCCATTAATGGCTTCATTATTCAAAAATATCAGTATTCTTTCTGATAAGAAAAATTCGAGTTTTGAATTGGTTATTGTTTTCAATCTTGAATATTTGTATTGTCAGAAAGAATATTAAATGTCTATATTCAAATAATGAAACCACTATAGGAATCTAGGGGATAAGCTTGAGCAGTTTTGACTGTAAATAAGTAGATATATGAATAAATGAATAAATAAATAAATAAATAAATGAGTGGATTAATAAATAAATACATAAAAATAATAAGACATACATATTCAGACTTTTACCAATTTGAAGACTATAGGTAGAAAGAAAGCACTCTTCAGTATATGTTAAAATCAAACTGCCCTTTGGCAAACTCATGGGAAAAGCTGCACTTTTCATAGATTCGGTGCCTGTGCTTTTCTTATGCTTGTTGAGTTGTTGATAAATAAATAAAAATAATAAAACACACACATCTAGAGTTTTACCAATTTGAAGACTAGTCAGTCGAAAGAAGGCACTCTTCAATACATATTAAAATCAAACCATCCTTTGGTGAACTCGATTTAATTAAATGCTCCATCTAACTTGTAACATGAGCAATTTTCCTTATATTTTTCCTTTCAATTTTTACTTTGTATAGTCCTTTGTAATCTCGTTGAGTTTTTAAGGAAATCCTGTGATAAACTGATTGTTTGAAAAAAATTCAATTGAAGATTTTACGAAGACATTTGAAAGACAACATAGATCGCTTTGCTTGCAGTTTCCCTAAGGAAAATTGGGCCTTTTTATGTTCCTGAAGAGTGCTTTTTGCCATGAAACTTTCAGCCTACGAGTCTTCAAATACATGTGTATATAAAGATAAGAAGCATTAAATCAATAAGTAATACTGGCTAATCAGTAAAACTTGCCCAACAAATTTATCTTAACTTTGCTCACTTCAAATGAATGATCGTCTTATTGAAAGTCTAGTTTAGATGCTTATTCTATTATTTTATTAGAACCTGCATATTTCCTTAATTCCTTTGATATAAATAGATCTATAAATAAGGGGTATATTCATCATTGCTTGCCAGATTTCAATCCCACATTCAACAGCAACATTCCAATTCCTAATACAAATATGGCTTATAGCCTAAAATCTTCAAGGAGTTTTCAAGAGCTTAATCCCATAAAGTAACTAGATGTGTAACTTTTGAAAACCACCGACATAAGATGATTGATAATCATTTAAATATCGATCTGCTAATATCTTCTAGTGAGCAAGTGAGTGACACATTTGCATATCCAGGCCCCTCACAATTGCCAGTTTTCAAGTGACATCATCAAAACATCAAAATCTAAACTATACGTTGTATATATGTGTTTTAGAAATCAGTGTCACAAGAAAATATCACAACTCATTTTGATGTTTTGTTCCCGAATTATGAAGGTTGAGTTTCTATCATCCAATACCATCACGTTTATCTTAATAGCATTGAAAATATTGAAAAAAGTTATCCTAGTTGAAGGAGTTCCCCCAGGAGGGCGGGGGGGGGGGGGGGAGGGGGTATTCTTGCCCATTTAGGGTAGGGATATGCTGCTGAGCCTTCTAAACCCTGACCCTGTTCCAGAGTAAAATCACTGAAATTCATACCCTGTTCCAAAGTAAGATCTCTGGAAACCATACCCTGTTCCGGCATAATTGTGAAAATAGATATCCCGTTCCAGAGAGAAGAGAGCGTGATTTCATATACCCTGTCCTAGAGCGAGTGCAATTTTTTTAAAACCCTGTTCCAGAGAAGAGTCACTGTAAACCATACTCTGTTTGGCAGCAAGTACCCATATAGCAAAAATAGGGGAGTAGTGCAGTATTTTACTTTCTTATAAAAACAGCTAGTTATAAACAATGTTGACAAGCCAAATGTAGTTGCCCCAGGGGGTGGCTCTTGTTTTGCTATTTACTGCAAAATTTACCCCCATACGGTGGGGCATATTTCAGTTTCAGTTCACTATTCAGTACTAATCCCCACTTATATCCCGGGGTGGGGGGTCTGTGTTTACTTTGACTGGTGCAAATATCTCTTCGGCATCGCACCGGCATAGTGGAGGTCATGGGTTCGATTCCCGTTGAAGCTTGAAATCATTTTTTCAAGTCTTTCTTTACAGCGTTCGCTTGGATCGCTCATTCACTCTGATGATCAACACATCTATCATTATTTCACCACAGTTCTACCCATTTATTACATATAGTGGTTTGATGAATACCCAACAAAAATTACCGCTCGCCAACAGGATTGGCTTCATAGCTCAGTTGGTAGAGYATCGCACCGGCATCGCGGAGGTCATGGGTTCGATTCCCGTTGAAGCTTGAAATCATTTTTTCAAGTCTTTCTTTACAGCGTTCGCTTAGATCGCTCATTCGCTGTGATGATCAACACATCTATCTCTTAAATATCTCTTCGTTGCCGAGATATTCAATATAGAAATCACGAAATGATGATGTTAACCCAAGATCCTTAAGAAAAAGGAAAATCATGAAATATAGAGAGAATATCTCTGTGAGAATTAGCTCAAAATGACTGAAACTTTTGGCGATCATAGCGTACTAATTACCAACATAAGAATATTAAAGGCATTTTGAGCAATTTTGCTATCTATCACTGGATTGATTTTAGACCAAATTGCCCTCCACTCAGTTCAATAACCATTATAATACTTACTATTTAGCTAATTTTTCAAATACGATTTTCGTTTCCTCTTCTGTAAGAGGCCGCATGATTCTAGATGATTTTTTTATAGACTTTATATATGTTTATTGATCCTGTATATTGTGCCATGTGTTTGAGTCCACGCTTTATTGACCAGCAGATTTCTAACTCATCGGTCCTAGTCTCCCTTCTTGATCTTTGTTTCCATGGAAACTACTGAAGYCAAGAGACAAAGATAATGGGTGTATGCTCTGCGATGCTTTCTTATATGAATTTTAAGATTAATTAATGGTTCCTTTTGGCGAAAGCACCACTATGTCATTGCTTCAGGTACAGGGAGTTGCTGTACGAAACAGAAGTTTTTCACTCACTCTTCTTCCAGCACTGCGCCACCTGAGTGCTGTTTGTGTTTCGTCTCCTATGTACAGAACACCGACTATATCTCCCGTTTCCCGTAACATACAAAGTTCTGAAAGACGCACAAGTTCAGTTTCGAGTCTCTCCAAAGAAACAATGGTTTACGAAGAGCAAGAGTTCTGGCAACGACAATCAAAACAAAAGCATTGGCAGAACGAAAGTAAGCACGACAGCGTTCTGACCTCGGATTCTCAACAAATCTACGAAAAGTTTTCATTAAAAATGACGACAACTCCAGAAAAAAAACCGGAATCTTCATTAGAAACGAAAACGGAACAGTCACTCGGTAGGTTGGTATTAACACTCATGATTTCCTAATTTTGGCAGAGATAAAAACATAGAACAGTAGGAAATAAGACCGAAAGGTATTCCGGGAAATAACATATATAATTTGATTTAAATATAGAAAATACAGCCAATCAGGAAGATACAGAAAAGCTGTCTTAATTTGTCTGCAATTCACCCCATTTCCCATTATACGCTGTGTTTTGAATCTATCCATTGGTATTTTCAAAAATATGTGATAGCTTTCTTGTGGCACAGCATGGAATATCCCACTTTGTCACTTAATTGCTTTTTCAATTCTTTTTATACACACTTGCATGTGTACACTTAAAAAAATACAAGTGATGCTTGGGATATTGCATGGTATGTCACTACAAAGCATTGTATTTAAACTGGATTATGTTTTCATTTGAGATACCTGTCGATATGAACCATATGTTAAAGGCTTACACTACACTTTAATACTTTGCAAAGCAAAACATTACTAAGGGATGATTATACTTTGTGGAACAGAACGAAATGAAAAGAACTATTTTTGAATAGAATTTATGTACATATTTTCCCTTTAAATTATTTTCTGGATAGGACAGCATATAAACATGTATGTGATTGGTTATTTATTTATTTAGAAACTTCCATTAGCCTTCAATAACAATTATCAAAGTGCCCCTAATGCCTGATTACAGACCAATTTAGAACAAATCCTCACATTGTCATAAACGCATTTTTCAAAGAATGAATCGAGTGAATCCAACTTGGAAGAATGCGCAAAGTCTCACTTTTGGAACGTATCACCCCAATGATGTAATCGCACCAGTCCCCCTTATGTGCGATCCTTATATGAAAAGTTGCGTTTTCAAAACTCATTCAAAATCAGGAATGCATCCAATTTTGAAAAAAATTTGGATTTTCACATTTTCATGAATATATTTCCAACTTAGTAGTACCCGGAGTGAACCCACCACCTATTTATAACTCATATATTGTGTACTTATGCCCCTTTCAAAACGCAGTTTTCTAAAACGACTTTCTATTAAGTGAAATGCATTCTACTTTTCAACTTGTTTTCACTCATCCACTCACTCACTCACTAAGATGTTAGCAGATCGATAATTACAGTCAAAACGGCTAAAGCTTGGTACTATCGTCGTGTACAGGTTAACGAAGTATGCCATAGGTTTCCAAACACACGAGTGGGACTTAGGAATTTTGGTTCTTTTCACTTAGAAAAAAGAGCGAAGACACCAAGAATCGAACTTGGCACCTTTGGCGGCAAAGAACTATGCCAAACCCAATCCCAACCCTAAACCTAAACCTAACCACTAGACCATGATATGAATTTGCTTGGGTGGGCTTATTTTTAGTTAAATTTAAAAGATGTATCATCAGTATGTGCACATAAATATTTATTATAGCTTAATTTATGCTATCGTAAGGTACGACTACTAGCTGACTACTCGAAATGTGAATAGTTGAATAGAATTCCCCTGACAATTCCCGTACACGACGATATAATCTCAAGCTTTTAATTACCCCCTAGGCTCCATTAATAGTTTCATTATTTGTGTATTGAAGCTTTTTATTCTTTTTGAAAATACAAAGACTCAGGATTCAAAATAACAAGACCCTGTGGGCAGGCTAGACTGGGATACCTGGAAGGGGAGGAGTGGAGGGGCTGGTTTCAGCATCCATGTAGTACTTAGTTTAGGTGAGCTTCAGTTGATAAAGTAGGCATTGCATAAATCACTGCTGATTGTTTCTTGAAGCAAATTACACAGTTGTTTACCGCGATGACGGTCTTGTGTCTCAGCGATCAACTCGTAACAAGATCAGTTCGCAACAAGTCTGACTGCTAAAGTGCTAAGAAATGAATTTATTACAGCTCTAATAACTGTTTATTTACACGGTTGAATTGGGGTTTTTTGTATGCAAATTTGTTCAGAAAAGTTTTTAAACTGGTATTTCTTCAGTTCTGTCTATTTCTTTGAATAATACGCTCTTTTGCAAAGGTTAGGGAACACCCCGGGGGGGGGGGGGTACTCCCCTATATTTGCTATAGGGATATCTGCCGCCCTATAGGGTATGGTTTTTCGGCTTTTGGGTCTGGGGTAGGGTATCATTTTTTCATATTTTGTCTGGGATAGGGTATCAATTTAGTATGGGATAGGGTTAACGATTTGGTCATTTTTGTCTGGCGTATAGGCTACGCTTTCTGCCGGCACAAAAACAAGAAAAACGTTAGTAAATATTGATTGCAATCTGTTGAAAAACTGTCTTTTCCGTCCTTTAGTCTGGGATAGGGTGTACAATTCTTAGTTTTAGTCTGGGGTAGGGTATGTAAAATCAAATTTTTAGGTCTATGATAGGGTCAGGGTTTTGAGGTCCTAGCGGCACACCCCTACCCAAGTTGGGGTGGTAGTACCCCCCCCCCCCCCGGGGAACACATAATTACTTGTTGGTGTCTTCTTTTTTCGCATTGATTATACACTAAACTCTCTGACAAGTAAATAGTGTAAGATTTCGACCATAAGTTTTGTAACTAAAACACGTGTATGCCATGCGGCAGTTTGATTTGTTATGTGAGTTGTAAATAATTTATACTGAATCAAATTTCGTTGAATTTAGTCCAGATGAAAATTTGGTTATAAAAAAAATTGGTTATAAACAGGACCAAAAGTATTAAGCTTACACCATCTCATACAGTTTTTGTTTGTTGACCAATAAACATCATAGAATTGGTGACTTGGTTTTTGTTTGGTACCTTTTGTTTGATTTATCCTATTTTATACTATTTAATTGTCATGCATATATTTCACTTTGCTTTCTAGACATTTCATTGTTTTGTTTTTCAATAAACTTTTGCTGATTAGCTCAATTTATCAATTTTTACGTTTAATTTTTACCTTTTGTCCCTTGATGCTCAACAGTACATAGTCTCTCTTGCAGCCGTTAAAAACCCTAAAATTATGTAGTCAACTGTTAGTTTATTGCTATCCATAGCCCCATTCAGTCCAGTCTCATAGGCTATCTAATTATTTGTTTTTTTAAATTGATTGACAGTATTTAAAACTCGAGTTAAGTAGTGAGTTAAATAGTTTCAGATCAGAATATGTGGACCACGTAGCACTTATGAAATACATGAAGATATAGAAATATAGATAAAGCTATTGTGCTTGGGAACAAGGTTATTCCGGGCAAAAACCCTTGAAATTAAACTCGGAAAAATTAATTTCAGACCTCGCTAGTTTCAGATCACATCTTTGTAGTTTGAAATACTGACCTTTATCATAATTCATTGTGTTTTCCACTAGTTTTTGCTTCCCTACAAAGAAGCCAATATTACTCAGTAGGTTCAGTAACTTTGCTAATAGAATATACTCTTTATTCAGTGAAAAACTTTAATTTTTTGCTTGAAAAAAGAGGCCTGACACTACTTCATGTAAGACTAAATAAAATGGCACTATATAATTCTGTAATAAAGTTACAATTTTAATTTAGTTTTTTGGGGGGTTAGGGTTAGGGTTTGGATTAGGGTTTCAGGACATAATCAATAATCAATAATCCAATTATTAAGTGCCATTTCATGTAGTCTTACATAAAGTAATCACTGAAAAAAGCTTGCCATCCTGCAATTGCAAGGCAATAACTTGACCCAATCAATTGGGTGCTTTACAAATTGGATGCAGTTTATTTCATATATTCAAAGATTTAATTCTTTTCATTTTTATTAGAGTTTAGTTCCAGTCACAGTAGCAATGGAGATGTGCAAGCCTCAAGCTCTTCTGAAAGCAAAAATCTTTCCAAAACCGTGAAGAACAAAATATCTCTTTCAAAAGCTAGTAAATCTACCAATAAAAGCAGAAAACTCTCAAGAAAATCTTGCAAGAGAAGAAATAGTGCCAAGTCGTCAAGAAAAGTACCAAGTGTATTTGAAAGATTAACAAACAGTACTTTCAAAAGTGATTACCATAGTGATAGAGGTTGGTATCTTATTTGCCTGTATGTTAGCCTGTGTGTATATCATAATTTATGTTACATTCCACAATTTGTTTCAAAACTTGCTGCAGTTGTTGCTACCTTCAGTCTTCTGGTAAAGTTTCAGCTCAATTTATGGCTGTTTAAGTGTTTTTTTTTTTCAATCTGCAGGCAGCCCAAACATTAGGTTTCAGTGTATGCTTCATAAGGGAAAGTATGGGAGGTATGATTAAGATTTGAGGTACAAGCAATGACTTCCTCAAGTTTTAAGCAAATTGTGTA